TTTTTATTAATATGTAATATATTATATCATATTATATTTATATTATAATGTCGTGTCCCGACATTTACTTGAACTATTCAATATCGATAATGAGAGAATAGAATTAGATTCCAACTTGACAAAACAGAGTAATATTTATAATTAACAGACTATTGCTGGAAATCTTCGTCACGAGTCACACTCGTCATAATACGGCGAGGTGTTAAAAGATCTGTAAAAATAATGTTATATAAACAGGCGATCGATGGCTGTTGTCACATTTCTGCACTCCAATTTCCAAAAATATGACGAATTTGTATTATTATTACGGAATGACCTGTAATAAAAGTACAGTAATTTCTCCCTAATTCGTGCTCGGATTGCGCACAAAAATGGACGATTCGGGAAGATTATTCGAGCCTTGCGGCTCGTTTTTATAGATGTTGGTAATAAACAACTATAAAAGGCTCGAATATTCGTGTTATATATATACAGCAAATTCTCCTTAATTGACGCTTAGATTGTAAAGAAAATTGGGCAATTTGAGAGGAGAAAATACGATTATGTATTTATAGTTACAGATCGTCGACAACTATAAAAACGAGAGCCGCGAGGCTCGAATAATCGTATACACTCTTCCCAAATTGTCCATTTTTATGTACGATCTGTGCGTCGATTAAGAGAGAATTTTCTATGTACAAGAAAAGATTACTGTGACATAATTTTTACTCCGTGAAAACTGCATCTTTTAAATTTGCATCCACGCACATCGAGCACGAGAAAGTCGCGCAGTTACCGGCGCCTCAAGTTTCCTTGTTGTAAAACTAGTGATAGTCACAATAAAAATCAAAACTAAGAAATGTAAATCGTTAGGATAAGTAGCTTTTAAATGGAGGCACAGAAATCGTTTTTTCTTGAACGTTAAATTTCAAAGATTGCAATTCGTGGCAAAAAAGTAACACTTCTCGAGTATCGAGAAGAAACGCTAGAAAAACAATAGCTCTGAAGCGTGTTGAATAAAAATATTGATTTGTTTATACATAGAAAATACCGTTCGCTGAACAGCGAGATCGAGAACCAGCTTTTGATCGGTGCTGCGCGGCTTCCTCGTTATTTGACTGAAAAATGTACGGTTCGCGTAACGATTAAATATTATTGCTAACAATGGACTTTGCAAAAAAAAAAATCGACACGAACTCGTGGGCAACCTAACCGGCATTCGAATCATCATCGGTGTGCAGCAAATTAAACAGCATCCGGACAGAACGCAGGACCGAAATTATACGCCGATCTTCCGGCACAAAGAACCACTTTTTTCCGTTCCCTCTCCCAAAACGAGTCTTCGCACATTCCGCCGCCGTTACCGTACAGGTTTGTTACTTTGTTACGTTTCCTCGAAGTATAATGTAATTTACTTATTATACGATCTATGTATGTAATCTGTATTTATTGCGACGTTACCTCTGATTTCAACGCTCCATTAGAAATTCGAATCGGCCGAACGACGGACGTTGAGTTGAACGAAAAAAAGGCGAAAAAAAGAAAGAAGGGGGAAAAAAATATATGAGAAACGATAAGTGTTATCGAAGTTACTAAACGATATAAGTTATGGGAAAAACGAACAGCAAAAGAAGAAAAAAATGAAACGTGAATTATTACGCGCCTGCGAGCGCCTCGTCGGGCGCGCGTAAGCCGATAGAGTCTAAGCAATAAAATATATAGGTACTGTAATATACTATTTTGTTAATAACCTCTGGCGAAAATTCGTTAACATGACGTTCCATTGTTAATCGAGTACCGCTGAAAAGGGTTTGCGTGCCTCTGATTGAAAATCGACGGTGAATATTTAAGAAGCACCCCTCGCTGGATTCCGATCGCCTTGAAATACGGTGTCGAGATGATCGTTCCAGACAATGCTTTCCTACGCGTTGTTATCGTTGAAACATCGTCATTTAAACGAACGAATAACTCTACGGTTCTGTAACGTTCCACGTTTAACCCCTTAACGCACAGATTCTTTTTTTAAACCGGCCAAAAAAAATCAATTTTGATGTACCGCGCTTTTGTTCCATGGAGGAAGGCTATATTTTATTCTTGAATAAATAAGTGTTACAGCTTACAATCCCATGTAAATGATAAATATCGATAAAACGATTTTTTTTCTTTGCTTCCACATTGTTACTTTCAATTTTCGATTATATTCGAGTGTGAAAAATTATAGCAGCATAAAATATAACGCCGCTCGAATTATCTCGAGTGTGCGCCTGTTTAGCGCGATCGAATTAACACGAGCGTACAAGTTAAGGGGTTAAAAGAAGAAATGAAAACGCGAAGGTACAAGTGTTACGTTCTTTATTGTTATTTAGAGGTTTACTTGCTTCTCTGCGCGTCTCATCTTCGCCCTTAATCCCAAATTAATCTCAAATTAATCTCAATTGGATCCAGAAAAAGGAGACGAAAAGCTTTTATTCGGACCATCTGTTGCCTTCGAATTAGATCTAGCTGAGGTAAGTTAGATCTGGTCTTCAGGTGACACGATGATAATCGATATTTTGCAGTAAATATCTAGTAAACGTACTACAGTAAATTCTCCGCAATTTTTCTTCAGCTTAAAAAGGAAAATGGACGATTTGGAAAGCGAAGATACGATTATTGGAGCCTCGCGGCTCATCACTATAGTTGCCGATTGTCCGACAATTACGAAAACGAGGCGCGAGGCTCGAATAATCTCCGCTTCCCAAATTGTTCATTTTTGTTTACAAGCTGAAGGAAAATTAAGGAGAATTTACTGTACAAATTATTATATTTTAAATTATTAAATATATTTATTTATATAATTATATATATTTATATATAATTTAAATTATTAAATATATTTAAATTATATTTTAAATTATTACATTTTCAGTTGCATCAAATTTGCACAGGGCTGCTGAGGTCGATACAATTGATTATGCAAAACGTCAATGCACAGAACCTTTAAATAATTTCTGATAAATGACTAATTTGATATTTGTATAAATATTGAAGCAACCATTCTATTGCGAAACCGAGCGACGACGAAAGTTTCGAATTCAAACGAAAAAATGGGCGTACGAATTTAGCGACTAGATTTTTCTGATTCCGATTATAATAATAAAACAGATGCTGAACAGAAAAGGATTGTTTCGAATCGCGTAATTTCGACGACGCGATACGAGGCGATTTGAAATCGACGAGGCGTGCGAACTTTCAAATAATTACCATATTCGGCTGTCCATTGCAGTCGCGTTTCTTTCTACGGGGATCTGATTCTTGTTGAACGTTTCTTTGGCGACCGATAAGAATATTTGATATAAGCATACCACCACCACCACGTTCTATCATTTCTCTCGACGACAACGTCTCGGGGTTAACTTAACTCTCGGTTCCACGGACACACTGTGTAACAGATTTTCGCTATCAACGAATTTGCCTCAACACAGCTAGACAGTTTTGCCAAAACGAGCTGATATAAATGAAACGAGATATAAATAAATTAGTATATTATTGAAATCGAGATAAAGAACAAAAAAATATATATATATTACATAATATATATATTACAAGCTACGTAAAAAGTAAGATGAAAGCGCACGCGGCTAAGAGAAACAAAAGTAAAGCCAGAAAAAAAAGAAGAAAAAAAAAGAAAGAGAGAGAGAGAACAAAACTTCGACACCCTTATAAAGCGCAGGTATGTGTGTAATAATACAGGATCGAGAATACATTGTCCTAACGATATATCCGCAAGCAAATTCTTGTACATTATCGATCTACCCATTCGACGGACGTTTTAGTCGGGTAAATGAAAATGTAATTGTTATTCGATCCAGCTGAATCGCGCGAAAAAAAAACGTGTTTCTTTCATGTCGTCTGCCAGCAACCTACGCGTTCCCCCGCGAAATGATTTCCGATACCTGCATTTTTGTATATACCACGATCTAGTTATGTAAAGTGACTCCACACTATTATACGAAGAGCATTATTGTTCATTATATCTATGTAAATATGTAACTGCCTAAATACGAATAAACCAGAGGATATATCACTGCACAGTACTTTAATTAATCAATGAGATCTGTCTTTATTGCTCTTGTTTAATTGACAATCGTAATGGCGTGGTGACCGACAATGTCTCCTGTAACCAACGTGTGCCGATCCTTTGAGAATTTTTCGAAAAACTATTCTACCGAATAGTTTGACGAATTGTATATCTTCTTGCAACAACATGAACATCTAAACTCGTTTAAACGGTATTTGAAGCGAGCGGAACAGCGCGGAGAAAGTATGTGCCAAAAGCAGACCGCGCAACTTATTCAAATTTGCTGGAACTATTTTTTTGCTTTTTGCTTTTTGCCTTTTGCTTTTTGGTTTTTGCTTTTTGCTTTTTGCTTTTTGCTTTTTTGCTTTTTACTTTTTGCTTTTTGCTTTTTGCTTTTTGCTTTTTGCTTTCGGCTTTTTGCTTTTTGCTTTTGGTTTTTTGCTTTTTGCTTTCGGTTTTTTGCTTTTTGCTTTCGACTTTCGGCTTTTTGCTTTTTGCTCTTTGCTCTTTGCTCTTTGCTCTTTGTTCTTTGTTCTTTACTTCTTGCTTCTTGCTTTTTGCTTATCGACGTTGATGCATCGAACATGAACCTCTCCAGCGCGAGCTGCAATTTCGTTATCGATTGATAAATAATTCCGACGCGATGAAGTATTGCCACTGGTTCTCAACCGTAATGTGACCGCAATTTATAATCGAAATAGAAATTCACATTGTGTCTCTTGCGGCGTTCTTTCTTAAGCATCTCTCAAAGACTAATGAAAATGTACGACGTTCCGATTCATACATGGGAATCGAAATCTACAAGAACCACGCGTTTGTCGGATGACGCGAAAGAGAATTCTTCGTTGGACAGATTAATTGACAACGGTTCCGTGCTCGCATCGACCTAAGCAATATAAACGGAACGAAACATTCTAATTCTAAACAGCCGATGAATCCTTCAATTCGTCAAGCCCCATCTACGAAGCACCTCCTCTTGACCAACGGGCCACAGGTTCTTCAGCAAGGCCCAGCCGGATTTCTGGGTGATCAACAAATAATCGTTCTGCGGATCGTGTAGATAAGAATAGGCTCCCATGACGAGGCTTTGGCATATCCTCGCACAGACGGTGACCTTTAAAATCTTCTTCTCCAGCTCTGTCAGCTTCCTGAAGTCCTGGTAGCCTTCGATAACGTACTTTCCCATGGTCATGTCTCCGGCTTGCAGGATCATGTAACAAAGCGCGATGGCCAGCTCGAAGATCAAACAAGTCCTGTGCGAGTCGCCGAAATCGATTACCGCGGTGATGTCCTCGCCGTTCGAACTCATCACGATATTCTGCTCGTTCAGGTCACCGTGAATCACGCCCTGCTCCAGTTTGGAGATCACTCGGAGAACGTCCTTCTCGAATGCGTCGATCACCTGATATACCAAGTCCTTTTCAAGGTCGTCTTTCACGACGTAGGTGAACTGCCGCAGTTTGGGCATCGAGGTCAGCGTCCACAGCGTTTTATGGTCGTCGTACGCGGGGTGAGAAAATCCCTTCAGCACGCTGTCCAGTTTCCCTGTGAAACGTCCCACATTCCGAAACAGGTCGCTAGTGATTGGAACTCGATGCAACAGCGTGCCTGGACGATAAACGAGGAGCTTGACCGCGTAGCTCTCTACGGCGTCTTGAGCGGTCAACGTTTCAAGAGAGTAATACTCCCCGTTCATGTTTTTCACTGGCAGAGGGCAATTGATGCGCCGTTGATTCAAGTAGATCAACATTTCGTTCTGGGCGTCTATCACGCGACTGTTCTTCGAGTCCAGAGAGTTTATGATCTTCAACACGTAGCCGTCCTTGCTAACGCTGTCTATGTGAGGATTCTTATGAAGATTCTCGCAGATTATGTGGTAGTTCCTATCGTCGTAGGAGTTCAATACGGTTATACGAGTCACTTTCAGGCTGTAGAGCTTCTCCAACAGGTCCGAAACTATCTGTTCGCTTCCCGGGGGTTGTATCCGCTGGCCTGGTGTTAGGACTGCGTCGTTGTCCTCCATTCTAACAGTGGAAATATTTGTCGATTATTGTCGGGAATGATTTGGTTCGATTTCGTTATGGTACTTTATGATTAATACTTCAAATGAATTTGCAACTGAAGAGATTGTTGGTGATCATTGTAAACACGCGTGTTCCTTCATTCTGAACACTTTATTTATTTATTTATTTCTCGTCACTTTTTTCTAAATACAAGTCCCCCCCAAAACTGATGTTACTGTCACTATTGAAAAATTTACAAGTAGCTCTAACTTGTTAATGTTTGACCTTTAGAAGACTATCTTAAAAATATAGTTCATCGAAAAACTGCAACGCGGCTGCAAAGATGTAATATAATTGAACGAGACATAACTTCCGGTTCATTGAAAAATCGACCAGGATCGACAACTTCTCTTCATCTCATCTGTTACACAATTAAAACTTATATTTACCATCGTAAAGCCTCGTTTGTACGTTCTAATATAAACTTGTTAAAATGATCTCTTACCTGATCAAATTCTTTGCGCCACAATGTAATTAATGCAACAACAGGTTGACAAGTCTAGCTCTGCAAAATAAGATAAGAAATCGTACGAATTATAAACTTTCGAAAATTTTGCAAATTTTGTTGCAGTTTCGTCGAGTGTATTTTAATCGAAAAGTAACCCGAACAATTAACACGATACCGAAGTATGCGAGATGGCCACTGGACGAAGATCGAGGAGTGTACTGTAGTATGCTGTAGGTAATAAATGCCGTTAACACTCAATCAGCTCAACTGGTAGGGCGCAAATGCATGATGATTGATGCTTATCGTGAGCGAGCGGTAAGCTGAAAAGAATGAGCTTTCGTAGATGTTTACCGTTGTCGATCAAACGTAGTCTTATCTCAATGATAACGGTAACAAAACTGCTACTACCGTCATTATTACCTATGTATTATAAAGCTTCTGCAATTGTTACATTTTTTGCTGTTACTATATAATTATAATATCGGCATCTGAAATAAAAAGATAGGAATTATAATTTATTACCGTTTTAAGAATTTTATTATACGTATATTTAACGATTAATTTAATTAATATATACCTCTTTATAAACTATAATACGATTTATATCGTTAATACTAATTTTTAGTTATTTAATGTTACCCAGATTAATTTCACGACGTTAAAACGCTAGTTTTCATATGTTACATACCTGTGAAACGTCAACTATTATTGTCACGCTTGCAGTCAAAAAATTCGCATTATTTGAAATAAGCCGCCATAAATGTTTCAATACATGTATCGATACGATTTGTTTACATTCGTATGTACGTACAATACATGGCCCGGGAATGACTGTGCAACCGAGCGAGGGGCTGAAGCAGGCGCGAAGGCAGGGGGTAAAATATCGGCCATATTGTGAGGAGCAACTGGTACCGCCACCTATCGTCAAATTGTAAAACTATGCATTTGAATTTCAACGTGGACATAGATACATTCTAATACGCATTCTAATTTAGTATAATTGTTTCTTATTGTAGAAATATGATAACGCTACGAAACACAAGCGAATACACCACAAACGAAACAGCGTATCATACGTGAAGTAATGGCGGCGGTAGCGATAGTTGCAACGAAATTCGGCAACTCGTGGCAAAAATTTCATTAACATAATTCGTTAATTTAATCGATATTACAAATTGTCGATAAAAGAGAAAATTTCAATTAGACACATCTACCACAACCATCTCTAACGTTTACCGTCAAATGGCTAAAAACAAAACCTTCTTCTCGCTGGTTTCCAATACAGTGCACCAATTAATACACATACATGTATGAGCATCAGTGTACGTATCACATATGTACTCTATGAGTACAATGTACAATCTGAACAATGCGGTGATTGGCCTATATGCATTTACTTGCGTACAGTAATGAGACCTACTTCTGCACGCTTTTGTTACTCCCTAAGCTGGCGCGTATATCGCCATTTTACTGCGCATCCAATCCATAGTGAATCCTGTCTCAGCAATGAATCGTCAGCCAATCAGAGCAAAGAGAATTTCTGTATCGACCCTCGCTAACGGATCAAGCTACGGCCTGGAAGTGTGCAGTTGTAGGTCCCATTAGTGTATATTACATGGTTATGTTACATACATTGCATTTGCATATTACATATATATGTATATATACGATAGACAGCTTCTCTGTAGTATTGTTAGCGATATTGTTAGATTTAACAACTCAACATTTAGCGACATTGTATAGACAATTCGCATGGCAATGAATGTTGCTCGTTCTCGTTGAATTATGTCATGCGCACGCGTGCGAACTATGGAGGAGCAAAACGGTGGTTGAGAACTGCGGTTGTAGAATTGTTGCAGTGATTTTAAGGGAAATTTTACAACCATAGAAATCACTACGGAAGCCAGTAACATTCGAAAACGAACAAAGTTTATTGCGGCAACTGTTTAGTGCCATTAATAACGCATGTAATCACAGGTGTAATTATAGCGACAGTCGTTTTACACCGGCTTGAACCGCGTAACTGTCTTTCGATCGATTTACCTCACACTTATTTCTTTACAATGGAAGCTTTGATACCCGTAATAAACAAATTGCAAGATGTATTTAATACTGTCGGAGCAGATGCTATACAACTACCACAAATTGTCGTACTTGGCACACAGGTCAGTTTATATTTTTAAATTAATAATAACATGAAAATTCATGTGATCCATTGCAATTAAGATCTGAATTTAAATTTTTTTTCTTCTGTAGATGAAATCACGTAGTTGAACAGACTGATAACTTGTACTGTTCCGTTCAACAAATTTCCTTTTGCACTGTTTATAGCTTTTTCATTGTCTAATATAAAATGTTTGCTTGTTCTGTTTTAAAATCGAGTTAGTATTGTTGATAAGGCAATTTACAAAGTTGTTCGATATTAACAATGTGCTGAGCTAAAATTTGTTTGACACAATACTTCGAGCTTCTACAGGATACAAGCGTTAACTTTTATTTTAGAGTTCTGGTAAATCATCGGTAATTGAAAGTCTGGTTGGTCGATCCTTTCTACCAAGAGGTACTGGAATTGTTACCCGACGTCCACTGATACTACAACTCGTCTATACTCCTAAAGACGATCGTGAACATCGAAGCGCAGAAAATGGAACGCTTGATTTGGATGAATGGGGAACCTTTCTGCATACCAAAAATAGGATTTATACAGACTTCATGGATATACGTACAGAAATTGAATCTGAAACAGATCGTATGGCTGGCTCCAACAAAGGGATTTGTCCAGAACCAATTAATTTGAAGATTTATTCGAAGTCTGTTGTTAATTTGACGCTTATAGATCTCCCTGGGATCACAAAGGTACCAGTCGGTGACCAACCCGAAGATATTGAAACTCAAATATCTCAGCTTGTATTGTCATACATATGTAATCCTAATTCCATTATATTGGCTGTGGTCACTGCCAATACTGACATGGCTACCAGCGAAAGTTTAAAACTCAGTAAAGACGTGGATCCAGACGGAAGACGTACTTTAGCAGTTGTGACTAAATTAGATCTTATGGATGCTGGTAATCATCGGAAGTTCTCATTTTGTCGTAACAAACTTAGATATTTATTATATTGAACATCGTTTTAGGTACGGACGCTATCGATATATTATGCGGCAGAGTAATTCCTGTAAAATTAGGGATCATCGGAGTAGTGAATCGTTCTCAGCAGGATATAATAAACAATAAAAATATTCAGGAAGCATTAAAAGACGAAGCCACATTTTTACAACGCAAGTATCCCACTTTGGCCAATAGAAACGGAACCGCTTATCTAGCTAAAACGTTAAATCGTCTGCTTATGCAACACATACGAGACTGTCTTCCGGAATTAAAGGTAACATCAATCATTAAAAATATTAAAATGAATAAAATCTAATAGAATTTTATTTGCATATCTTTCAAATAGATGAGAGTAAACGTGATGGTTTCACAATTTCAAAGCCTGTTGAATTCGTACGGAGAGGACATTGGCGACAAGAGTCAAACGTTACTACAAATTATTACCAAATTCGCGAGCAGTTATTGCTCGACGATAGACGGAACAGCTAAAAACATCGAAACAACGGCGTTGTACGGTGGTGCTCGAATATGTTATATTTTCCACGAATTATTTGGCAAAACACTCGATTCCATTCATCCATTATCAGGCCTCACCAAAGGAGATATTTTGACTGCCATTCGTAATGCGACCGGTCCACGACCAGCTCTGTTCGTGCCAGAAGTGTCGTTCGAGTTGTTGGTGAAACGACAAATCCGAAGGCTCGAGGATCCTTCTTTGCGGTGCGTGGAACTGATTCATGAGGAGATGCAAAGTATTATACAACACTGTGGTACCGAAGTACAGCAGGAGATGTTACGCTTCCCAAAGTTGCACGAACGAATCGCCGACGTTGTCACACAATTGTTGCGCCGACGACTACCAACTACGAATCACATGGTAGAAAATCTGGTTGCCATAGAATTAGCTTACATAAATACGAAGCATCCAGATTTTCATAAAGATGCCGTTCTCGCGTCGTCTATACTGCAAAACGCTGATGGAGACCTAGTGAAACACAATAAGAGACACCTTTCCGCCTCGAGTACATCGAGTCCTATAATTCCGAACGATACCGTAAGTGATTGTTGATTAATCGAAGTAGTTTTTCAATGAGTAAGTTTTTCATCGTTACACTTTTGCATGGAATAAAATCGATCGTTTGTCATTTAATTGGAAAGAACGTAAGGAACATAATGTTTCAAACGTAACCATGCATTAGCTCGTCGAGTGTGATATGTAACTAATACTTCTAACGTGTATCTAACAGAGTGTGCAGAACATAAAGACAGCGAATAGTCAAGAAGACGTGACATCGTTTCCCGAACAGAACAAGGACCAACAGGGACATCCGAATCATTGGTTGCTAAGCAATTGGCTACCGCAAGGTAAGGCTGACTCGGCTAACTCGATCGACAACTCGCCCGTAAGAAATCGAGAAAGCAGCGGTTCTCCTCATCAAAATTCTACTTCGAATCCAGCGATCGAAGTGCAGAAACCATCTCCTCAGCAGAAAGCGGTGAATTTACTTCCGGAGGTGCCGACGCAAACATACCGGCAACTTAGCAAACGGGAGCAACGAGACTGTGATGTTATCGGTGAGATAAAGAAAGAAGAGTCTTTATATGGTTTAACGTTCCATTGGTTGATTTTCAATAATGAAGTAAACGTTATCGCTTTGCAGAGAGACTAATAAAATCGTACTTTTATATCGTAAGAAAGTCTATACAGGACAGCGTGCCGAAGGCTATCATGCACTTCCTAGTCAACTATGTAAAAGATAATTTACAAAGCGAGCTCGTGACTCATTTGTACAAATCCGATCAGGCTGAGATGTTATTGAACGAGAGCGATCACGTCGCTGTTAAACGCAAGGAAACGGCAGACATGCTGAAGGTATATTCTATCGATTAACCAATCCCTGTAACGCCACTCGTCTCTCTATCTCCACCATCTCGTGGAGCAATTGACTGATCGCGCGATGAGACAAATCGCGACGAATCAACAAAGACCTAGATAAGATAATTTTCTCTGTTCTCGAACATTTCGTTGACTCTCCAGAGAAGCGTGACGTTACGGGGGAGGGGGGTATATTACGATAGTAAAGTACGAACATTTCAAAAGTTCTTCGTATGCTCATGTAGTTTTTTGTTCTTTTGCAGGCACTAACTCAAGCCAGTCACATTATTAGTGAAATTCGAGAGACGCATATGTGGTAACGGAGAACTTTTACACCGTATACGCACCATCAATTTATAGTTTATTATAGACATTTTGTTTGGGGCGTTTTTAGTTGACAAATCGACGAGTGAAGGTTACACGTGTGTCGATCCACCACTGTATATAATTTTTATTTTCTTTTTTGTACATGCAGTGTCTACGCGTTCTCTTTTGATTTCGCATTGTTAGCGTAAAAAAAAAAACGTACAACATCGTAACAACAAACGCGTGCATTTATAGTAATTGTTAACGCGACAAAATATACCAAGCAACAGGAAAGTGAAAAATGTTGCCGTTAATGGTGCTCACGTCACAACTCTACGCTCTCGTCTTCGTGTGAAATACTTAACGCTTGCGCGATCAATTTATACAGAAAAGGGTATCAACTTCCTCGCGACGAACGAAGAGGATCGTGAAACGCGAGAACCAACTGGAATGTCGTCGTGACTGTAGGACAGTCTATAATTGTTTTGTAATATTTTGCACTGCTCGTAGGGTTCAACTAAAAAAGATGGTGTCTAATACAAATGAGATGTCGTAAAAATTCTGTTCGTTTCTTAAACACTTTGTGATATAAATCCCAAACTTATGTACCGGCATACAATATTATTATTATTATGTATATATACATATATACGAGCACGTGTATCCATATATACATATGATTGTTGACTTATTGTTATTGGGAGGTACAGCCAAACCGATTGTAACATTGAATGATACATTGTTGTGTTTTGATAGTTTCGATGTTGGGCGCGACAAAGAACTTTTCAATAAAGTGTATGTGCTCGAACAACTGGGCCAGAGCCTGTGCATAGTGGCCCTCGTACATGCTCGAGATCGCGTTCAATCGTTTGCCAACCGATTTCCGGAGTTGCGCGTGCAATTTCTTGCGATCTGGTTTCTCCTTGCATTTGCAACGTTGCCCGGACGACGACGCGTTCCGGCTGCCTTCTCCGTCCTTTCCGTTCCGTTCGTTCGAACTCAACGAAATTATACCGATCGCCGCCGAGCACGTGCCGCATTTGTAAGCGATCGTATCGGGTAACGGAAACTGCCAGTTTCCGGCGCACGCTTCGCATTCGCAGAGAAATCGGTACTTCTTGCTCAGCTGCTCGCGCCTTTGTAGCCTCGACTCGCTGAGGAAATGCGGCCCGTAGCAGTCTAGGATCTCGCTACCTTTGCCGATGAACCGCAACGTTCTCACCACGATCGTGCCTGCCGGACAACAGATAAAACGTTCATTTAATCGGCGCGATCAGCGAACAGATTACCATTTGTAACAGAGAAACAGCGCGGCTGGCGTTTCGCACCTGCTGGATACGAATGACGCACGACGTTCGGATAACAGCTGTGATTCACGAGGCTGACCGACGGATAAATCGCTCCGCCGATCTCTCTCGGCTCCCAAATGTGTGTCTCCTTGTCGTACACGTTCTCCACGATCTCGTAAGCGTTGCAGTTGATAGCCTGTAAATGGTGCAGCATTCCTACGGCCAGCCAGAGCAAGGCCTCCTCTAAACAGACAACGTCCATTTTACTCAAGACAAAGGCGAAGCACTTGGTCAAGAAGATCGCTTCGATGGCGCGAACCAGGTTCACGCCGGACTCCATCGTCGCGCAATGCGTCTCCAAAGCTAACACGGTGCGATAATCCTGGGATCGGTAAATCTCGCTTATTCCCAACCGGTTGCGTTCCTCGTTCTCTCCCGCGGCGTGACGTCTAATCGAGTCGTCGTTCAAAAACGGAATCTCATCATCCCGTGCATCGTCGTCGTCGTTCCCGGTCCCTTTCGAGGACAAGGACCCTGCGATCGCCATCCTGTAAGCCAGTAATAAATGCGAGACCTGTTGTTGTTGTTGCTGTTGCATGTCCCCGGAACGATTTTCGTAAAAAGCATCTAGCAACAGACACTCGTACCGATGATACGTCTGCCACGCTTTACTCCGGCACGTTTCCGAACAGAAAGACACCTACAGCAAAAACCATAACGATCGGGTCAATTCCATGAAAAAAGTTGATCGCTCTCTGTCCACGGAATTAGCATAGCACTCGTCATCGATGTTCAAGCAATATTTAAACGGCTATATTTATATAATTATATAATTTATATAATATTATATATTATAAATATATAATTTATATAATATTATATATTATAAATATATAATTTATATAATATTATATATTATATATTATAAATATATATAAATATATAAACGGCGATGCGATAAACTTTGCGAACAAAGAGGAAGAAGCTCGCGAAGCTGATCTGTGCGAGAACTGATTCCGTGGAAAGTGATCGATTCGGCCTGCAACGGATCAAAGCGGTCTCTCGTTTAACCTTTTAGGTACGGCTGAATTCTGCGCGAGGCTATTTCTCTGGACGGCAGAGTCTGATACTGTATATACAGGGTGTCCCAAAGATATCTCGCAATCCGAAAGTGGCGGGTTGCTCGGGCCATTTAAAGCAACTTTTTCCTTTACAAAAATTTTCTCCGAGGCACCGTTAACGAGTTATTAACGAAAAACAGTGACCAATGAGAAGCGAGCTCGGCTGGCGCGTGGCGATCGAGCCAATGAGCGGAACTGGGCTTCGCGCGCTGGTTGGCTGGGCCGCCTCGCGTCAGCCGTACTCGATTCTTATTGGTCACTGTTTTTCGTTAATAACTCGTTAACGGTGCCTCGGAGAACATTTTTGTAAAGGAAGAAGTTGCTCCAAATGATCCGAGGAACCCGCCATTTCCGGATTGCGAGACATTTTTGGGACACTCTGTAGACTGTTGTAAATCGATGTGAAGACAAAAGAAGTGTGAAACAATGCGTATGAAGGCGATTATTTGATTCAAACGATGAGCGAGTGAGCTACTAGAGCAAGCCACTATAGTGGCGCGTCGTCCAGAGAGACGACATCCGCGAAAGCCACTATAGTGGCGTGTCGTTCTGAAAGATGACATCCGCGAAAGCCGCTATAGAGGCGCGTCGTGCCTACAAGGTTGATCTCGCAACCCTTAAAGTTTTCTACGAACCGCTCGACAAGACCGACAGGGGATCTTTACGCTGCCAGCCGGTTTTAGGCTAACGTGGCAATGCAAGCAATTCGTATAAAACGCATGCTTGTTCGTAGCGGAGGCGAACGGCGGCTCCACGATCAGGATGCTCCCGGCCTTGATGTTTCTGGTGGCCACGAGACGTCGGCCTTTCTTCTCGTCGAATCCCAAGGCCACCGCGTCGGAGCAGCTTTGCAGAACAGCGTTCCGTTTCCCGTCGACGACGGATATCGTTGGAACGCGTTCCTCCTCCGATGGAAGGACGCTCTTGTCCGGGACACGTTTTTTCCTCGTGCTTGCGGAGGACGACCGCTTCAGCATCTTGGAGCACTCGCTCTCCAAATACATGCACGCTTCCCTACGCTCTGTGAAATCGGTCATGCTCTCGACGGTTCTATCGTAGAAGCTCGCAGGAAGCGCAAGCATGCACTCGCAGTATCTCAGGCAGCTCGCGAAAGCCCCCGAGTCGTAGCAACTCCGGGCACAATCGTGCAAAACCTCCAGGAACAATCTACTGGTCGCACTGGCCGTAAACAGTGTTTCGGCGAAGTCGCTGGCTCTATTTCCCTGTTCGCCGTTCGCAGCGGCCGGCGACCTGCGTGTCTTAGAGTAAACCTCGGCCGCCTTAACGTCGTCCTTACCCCTGTACGATTCGGCAACTTTTGTGTGCTTTATGCACGGTACGTCCATGAGGACCTTTATCATTCCTTCTCTGTCGCCGTTCGCCGACGACTCCTTGAAACGGGTCGCGAACGGCTCCGATGTTCCACCATCGTAAGCTACTTTGAAGAATTCGTGGAATTTCGTGCACCTGCGAACGATCATGATCATACGTGAGAAAAATCCGGGATGCCCACCGCCTACGACAATGCTATTAAATCTACATACAGGGTGTCCCAAGAATGTCTCGCAATCCGAAAGTGACGGGTTCCTCGGGTCATTTGAAGCAACTTTTTCCTTTACAAAAATTTTCTCCGAAGCACCGTTAACGAGTTATTAACGAAAAACAGCGACCAATAAGAATCGAGTACGGCTGACGCGAGGCGGCCCAGTCAACCAGCGCGCGAAGCCCAGTTCCGCTCCACTGACTCGGTCGCCTCGCGCCAGTCGAGCTCGCCTCTCATTGGTCACTGTTTTTCGTTAATAACTCGTTAACGGTGCTTCGGAGAAAATTTTTGTAAAGGAAAAAGTTGCTTCAAATGACCCGAGGAACCCGTCACTTTCGGATTGCGAGACATTCTTGGGACACCCTGTATGTACACTGTCTCTTATACACATCTAGATGTGTATAAGAGACAGGGAAAAAGTTGCTTCAAATGACCCGAGGAACCCGTCACTTTCGGATTGCGAGACATTCTTGGGACACCCTGTATGTACACTGTCTCTTATACACATCTAGATGTGTATAAGAGACAGGGAAAAAGTTGCTTCAAATGACCCGAGGAACCCGTCACTTTCGGATTGCGAGACATTCTTGGGACACCCTGTATGTACACTGTCTCTTATACACATCTAGATGTGTATAAGAGACAGGGAAAAAGTTGCTTCAAATGACCCGAGGAACCCGTCACTTTCGGATTGCGAGACATTCTTGGGACACCCTGTATGTACACTGTCTCTTATACACATCTAGATGTGTATAAGAGACAGGGAAAAAGTTGCTTCAAATGACCCGAGGAACCCGTCACTTTCGGATTGCGAGACATTCTTGGGACACCCTGTATGTACACTGTCTCTTATACACATCTAGATGTGTATAAGAGACAGGGAAAAAGTTGCTTCAAATGACCCGAGGAACCCGTCACTTTCGGATTGCGAGACATTCTTGGGACACCCTGTATGTACACTGTCTCTTATACACATCTAGATGTGTATAAGAGACAGGGAAAAAGTTGCTTCAAATGACCCGAGGAACCCGTCACTTTCGGATTGCGAGACATTCTTGGGACACCCTGTATGTACACTGTCTCTTATACACATCTAGATGTGTATAAGAGACAGGGAAAAAGTTGCTTCAAATGACCCGAGGAACCCGTCACTTTCGGATTGCGAGACATTCTTGGGACACCCTGTATGTACACTGTCTCTTATACACATCTAGATGTGTATAAGAGACAGGGAAAAAGTTGCTTCAAATGACCCGAGGAACCCGTCACTTTCGGATTGCGAGACATTCTTGGGACACCCTGTATGTACACTGTCTCTTATACACATCTAGATGTGTATAAGAGACAGGGAAAAAGTTGCTTCAAATGACCCGAGGAACCCGTCACTTTCGGATTGCGAGACATTCTTGGGACACCCTGTATGTACACTGTCTCTTATACACATCTAGATGTGTATAAGAGACAGGTGCCTCGGAGAACATTTTTGTAAAGGAAGAAGTTGCTTCAAATGATCCGAGGAACCCGTCGTTTCCGGATTAAGAAACATTTTTGGGACACCCTGTATGTACATGTGTACGTATGTAGAAGTCGCAACGATGTTACGATCAACGAGACGCGAATACGAGCGGGACAATTTTTATTCCACACGATCCGATCAGATCAGTGCATTATAATACTGCATTATATATCAATAATAATATATATATATATATATTATATTATATTATATTATATATATGATATACATATATTATATTATTATTGTATTATATTATATCATATATATATAATATATATCAATAATAATACATATCAATGCATTATAATAAATATCGATTTGTTAAGAACGGGCCGGACCTGCGACGCCGAATAACGTATCCGGGGATCTTTGGTGTTCAAACGAACGTCGCACATAACGTGCACGAAATCGTCGCTCTCGCGGTCGACAAATCTTAAATTAGGCCTCTAAATATACCAACGTAATTTAATCGAAGACTGAAATAGTTCGAGCAATTCCGATTCCGATCCCTCATTTTCACCGTTCTATGCACAACGAAGCACGAATAGCGCACGATATCTTGGGTCGTCGTCGGCGTCGGAACGACACACGACATGCGAACGAGAGACGCACAGTGCGTAAAAGTATTATACACAACGGGGATTTTCTGTTCTCTAAGTATCGCCGAGCTGGTTCCCCGGGATCGAATTCCACGAGAAGCTGCGGACGAACGCGGTTTTTGCTTACCCCTTTGCCGTGAACATTTTTTTTACGATCGAATCGAAACAGGAAACCGTAACGCGATCAGCGTCGCATTGACTAGCCGCGACCACCACTTTTATCCCAGGTACAAGACACGATACGAATGAGCTGTGACGATTTCTAAAATTAGATGTCAGCGATTCTACTTTGTTGCACCTTGCGCTTTATTTGAAATCGTGAAACCCTGGGGAAACAATTGACCGAAAGGGAACATCGGGAATACAACGAATCCCAAGCTAAATGTCTAATTTCCATCGATTCTTCGAACTTCTTAATCTTAACTTTAAGTTTAATTATACGATTCGAAGAAACAGCGTTTTATACGTACCAACGAGATAAACGTATTGTTTAAACGGTAAATAGAAAGGTTACGTTGACGAGCTTGTAAAGAATCGTCGAAGCAGAACAATCTCGGTAAATCGTTGTGAATCCTCTAATGGCTAATTTAACTGCTAATTAATTAGTCGAGCGATTTAAGTAGCTTCGATCTACGCTCGATACGGTACTATGGCAGCTACTATTCTGCTATTAGACATCTTGCGTGCATAGCTGCGGAACGCGACGGATTCGGTTTATTTTACGATCGAATTAACTCGGTAATTCACAGAAATAAATATCGTTCGATGTTCGATGTTCGATGCATTTCAGAAAAAAGGAATTTAAAAATCGAATTTTAGTACTGCTCTTCTGCGATCGATGTCACTGGTGTGCCTGTGCCTAACCATTTAGATTAGGAGTACCAGACACCAGACGTCACATGATAGGCACGGGTGTGAGTCCGTTATCCTTTCGATTTCGACGTGACATGTTCTTAATTTAAGAGACTCGGAAAACATTCGGTTGATTTACTCTGTGAACTTGTTGTTCCGTATTCGTTCACTCTTCCACGTGTGTTCTAAGTTCTCCGCGTAACGAAAACATCAAAAATAACACGATGAGATTCATTTTGGGTACCACTTTCGTGACCACTGCCACTGCCACTATTTCAGTCTTAGGTACTTACTCTATATCCGCTTTATCTAATATTAAATTATAGACTTCTCATAGCTAAGAATCTACGAAACTACCGGATCGTTTCTGCTATTTGGAAAACAATACGTTTTCTGCTTTTATAAAATGCTTTCAGCTTTTAAATGAACAAAATTTTTTCTAGTATTGTATCATGTATTTACTGGGAAAGGAGAACGCGTTAGCATCGCATGGTAAGAACAAAAATTCTAATTGCTTATCACCTTGCAAGCATCTTTTGTTCCGTGTGCTCAGACAAGGGAATGTTGGCGCTAACAATGATTCTAGGTTTTTGGAAAATACCTCGCCATATATGTGGGCGACTCTTGGCATTGGACTCTCGGTTGCTCTATCTGTGGTAGGCGCTGCTTTGTAAGTTCAAACGTCTGCTTATCAATCTTGTTCTATATATCTGTTTGCAAAATAATTGTGCAAGCGATCTGTTTCAGAGGTATTCATACAACTGGTGTGTCGATCGTTGGCGGCGGTGTCAAAGCACCAAGGATTAAAACAAAGAATTTGATTTCTGTCATATTTTGCGAAGCTGTGGCTATTTATGGATTGATCACGGCTATCGTTTTATCTGGAATGTTAGAGAGATTCGATGTTGACATGCCAATTTTGAAGGATGAAATTCGCAATCAAAATTGGCTAGCTGGTTACTTAATGTTTGGAGCAGGTTTAGCTGTTGGTCTTGTTAATTTGTTCTGCGGCATAGCCGTTGGTATTGTAGGGTCTGGAGCGGCTCTCGCGGACGCAGCCAATTCTGCTCTGTTTGTCAAAATTCTTATCGTCGAGATCTTTGGTTCGGCCATTGGTCTTTTTGGATTAATTGTGGGCATTTATATGGTAAGCTTTTTAGACCCAGATGTGTATCTTACGATGTTACTTCTTAAAATATTAATAAGTCCTCTTGTTATTCCAGACGTCTAAGGTAAAAATGGGAAGCAAATTGTAAATTTAATGTAAAAAGAAGTGCTACAACCATAAAGTATTCTTTGAAATCACAAGGATCCATTCCATGATTAGTAACAATTGTAAAAGAAGTACAGAGAGAACAAAAACTGCAAGATCACTTTCTGTTTAAATCATATAAAGTCAGTGTAAAGAAAACATTTTTCTGCGTATGATGGGTACATTGTACTTGGTCTGTATAAGCAGAGTTTTGATTTGAATAGCTGTCGGAACTTCGTAGCCTCGGGTATCGTGATCTCTGTGTATTAACCGTGCGCGTAAATATCTGGTTCTAGTAGTATCAAATCTGCTGTTGCACTACCGTTTACTTATGTATGGTGTTTCGAGTGCGTTATAGCGCTCTCTTACACAATATACATTTCATGTATATATTTTTTTCAACAGAATTGTTGTATCGAATAAGCGTAACATTATATCATACTTGTACGTGTCGCACCTAGGTATATGTAAATGTAATTATATCTATCATTTGAATCCATTCTACAACCACAACGTAATACAAGAAAAGATATAGGCTTTTATTGTTTAGGTAACAGTAAAAAAGGTTCTTCAAACCGATATATAAAAATATATGAGCATGTATATAATTATCAACGATACACATTCGTATGAGTATCGATTTTCGATGTAATAATCGATACTGATCGCGAATATGCAACAATGCCATTATCATCTATGTCAATATTTGATGAATATTTTTAAACGCCTGTTCTAAACAATTGACATACTCGTTGGAATCACAGTATTTGTTATAACTTGTTACGATAGCTCCCAGTCTTCGATCTTGAATCATGTATCTAAATGATAGGTAAAAATGTTACAAATAAAATTTCGTAAACTTGATTTATATATATACATATATAATAGTGGAACAGAGATTAAATGTTTACGGAAACAATTATGAAAATCTATACTTTACCCGATTCCATATCCATTGTCTATCACTGGACCAAATCCACCAGCGAGTACGGCTGGACTCGAAAGGGTAGATGTAGATAATACGTTTTTATTAATATATTCGTAAGCCGGATCTCTAAAAATTCTTGGCATAGGTGTGTTCGATTGTTCATAGATCTTTTTCAACGCGAACAAATGTCGATCGAATCCTTGTCCTGAAAGTACACGAGATGATGGGCAATGTTAGGTTTTAATAATACCGCTTTTTTCAAATAAAGCACAAGTAATATAACACAAGTGTTATTCGTGTCTTCTAATTACCCATAGCAGCCTCTTTAGTAAGCGTATTATGAACATTACTGCAATTAACTATTAATTGTTTCAATTCGGACTTAGTTAAACTATTAGTTTTTCGAGTCATCGACTCACAAGTTATTTTTGTTTCCATTGTACATGATCTAATAGCTTCTGTTCGTCCGTGTTTGAAAGCAGCAGTACTGCAAGATTCATACGTTGGCGCTACACAATTCTTCTGGTAATATAGAGCTAGCTGAAATGCCAATTGCATAATCGCATCGGGACTTACTCCAAATTTCTTGCACTGGTCTTTACCAAATTCGTTACATATCACATGATCGATACTCAATTGTTGTGTCCAGTCTTTGTAGTCTTTCTTTTGCTGATCGATAATATTCTGTATTTTATTGTCAATAGCAAACTCGAGTTTTTCAACATTCTCTGTTTTCTGAAGGTGATTGATATCAGTAGGATGGAATCTTGGTTTCTTAGATATATCGGACTTTACATCCTGCAAATGTAGCGTAGTTATTCTTATCGTGCAATGCAATGTTTTTAAATATATTTAAATGTTTAGTATTACGTACGTTAAAAAATCTGAGTACAGCTACCCCATCTCCCCAAGAATGTTCAAAATTTATTCCAGCGTATCCATCTTGCGCCACGATCAATGAAAATGATTTATCGAACCACCTGTTTGTTCCATCCGCATGGAGAAACGTTTTAATTAATTTATTATAGTCCGTACCAGTATATGAATCGTCCAATATCATCATGAATATAGCAGTATCTATTCTTTGTAATAGCTTCTGATTACCAATGTGCGACAAATGTGCTCTCGTGTTAGCCCACAGATTACGTTCGGCAGTTGTTAGTATACCAATTGGACTTTTATTGGGTGCTCTGTCATCTTCTAAAATAGTCTTTATACACGTTGCTATTGTTTTCGGTTCATAAATGTAGCCATTTTCATCTACTACATCGAAGCAATAAAAATGCCCTTTTCGCATAACAACTATATGTCGTGCAGATTTATCGTGGTAAATCTCATCTTTGTCTAATTTTGGTAATCTTGTTGTATTGAATAAATTGTGATATTGCGACATGTCCAAGGGGTAAGCCTGAATAATAATTTTCATTCCTGCATTACTATGAGCGAATAATAGTTTTTAACATTTGTTAATGAAATTATTATCTTACATTAAACAGATATGCTCCGTACCAACTGACTTTGGATGGAAGCAGTCTTGTAACAGTGTGAAATAAATCAGTATCAGATTTTTTAGAATTCAAGTGAAACACCTCTGGTGGTAATACGTTCTCTTTCAATGACTTCAAAAATCTTAATGACGAGATAATTAGATTTGTAGCTTTTACTAATTGAACATCGTATTCTGATTTGTCTTCCGGTACAAAAACTAAGAAAGGATTGTAATTAATGGGTAATGGCTTACGGTCTCGAAGATACATATCGAACCATAGTTCGCTGATATAGCTAGTGCAACGATTTTTCTTATCTTTTTGAACAAGTTTACTATGCACATCGATGCCATCTTTAAGAATAAATTCATTGACACTGGATGAAGTTTCTTTGAACTGTTCAGTAGATAATAAAGGCTTCTGTGCTCTCAAATATCGTTTGCATGTTTCCTCGAGCTTCGGAATAGGCAATCGTGGTAACGATGGCTGAAAGTGCATTGTGGGTGTTTTGCTTTTCTTAATATATTGATATTCTTCATCTTTTTGTGTAGATATATTTCTATAATAAAAATAAGTAATCAGAGGGGTAGCTTATAATTAAGAATTCGTATAAATGTACATATGTATATATACCTTGATATTTGCCACAGTGTTTGTATTTTCTTTTGTTTAATCTAAAATAAACGTATATGATTAAACAGGTAGATTACGTGCAGAAATTTAAATGTCATTACCAATTGTCTCTTCATGTAATTAATATGGCTTGCTGGGATGGATAACATATTGCACAAAATAAGTTGAGTTATTGCACAACTAATTGTAAATATTTCATAAAATACATAAACTACGTTACAATAAATGATATAAAATATAACAACAACATGTAATTTCTTATAAAATAGACTCCGGACGATGCTAAGGTCCAACAACAATTATTAAGAATAAAGGCACATACATTTACGTATTTTTAAAGTACGCCATATTTTAATATATATTTACACTACGTATCGAATGATATACACGTAAAAAGTGAATAATTTCATATAAAAACGTTATTCACTAAAATACACATTTTTTTTTGCATATGTAATTCGAACATCCAAAATTAATTTGAATTTTGAATTGCTTAGTAACTAATACTATGACCAGATGACGTTCAAAATTACAGTAATGATCCATTAGCGAGGGTCTATATAAAAATTTTCTTTGCTTTGATTGGCTGGTAATTCACTGCTGAGATAAGATCCAATGCAGATTGGATGCGCAGTAAAATATTGAAAATGTGCGTACCAGCTTAGGGAATAAGAAAACCGTGTTCATTACTGCATCTATGCTTCTGCGTACGTATACAGTGATACCTTAACTCCTAGAAACCTCTCTGGTTGCGACTCGTTCCGTTAACGAGATTAGGAGTAGAAGTTACTTTGTTCTGATTGGCTGACGATTTACAGAATTTATTGCGGATTGGATGCGCAGTAAAATGGTGGAAGTGTATAAGCACTTGTTTGAGGTATCACTGTACCAGTTTTGCGAAACTGTGGAACATCTATAGTCATTGTGTACATTGTCAGAGACGGTTAGACAGCAAAATAAGGAAAATTAGCATCTACCATGCAGGTAATAAGGGATAAAGCTGTTCAAGATTACCGAAAAAAGCTTCTCGAACATAGAGAAGTGGAATCTCGATTGAAAGAAAGTAAGAAATATACTATTACATACGATTATAATTGTTCCCATTACAATAATTAATTCCACGTACATAACCTCATGCACCAAGCTATTTTGAATATCGACTGTCACAGAGATAATAGAAAGATTAGTTTTTGAAAAATTATCATTCTTTTTATATTTGTGGTTCTAGTGCGAGATAATCTGAAAGATTTAACAAAACAGTATGACAAGTCAGAAAATGATTTGAAGGCTTTGCAGAGCGTTGGTCAGGTGAAAAACAAATTTTTATTTAATAATACATGTGTTAAGGTCCTTAAAACACATAACGTTATCATTTTAGATTGTTGGAGAAGTATTAAAACAACTCACGGAGGAAAAATGTAAATATACAATTTATAATAATATTTTCAACTGAACATTCGTTTAAATGTAGTTTTCTGTTTACAGTTATAGTGAAAGCAACTAATGGGCCGCGGTATGTTGTTGGTTGTAGACGACAGCTTGATAAAAATAAATTGAAATCTGCAACGAGAGTGGCATTGGATATGACTACTCTTACTATAATGCGTTATTTACCTCGCGAGGTAAAATTTGTTTATTTAGAGATTAATTTGATTTGAAGATAAATTACATATACTTATTGTCCAATGTAGGTTGATCCATTAGTGTACAATATGTCCCATGAAGATCCTGGTGATGTTACATATAGTGTAATTGGTGGTTTAAGCGAACAAATAAGGGAGTTGAGAGAAGTTATAGAATTACCACTACTAAATCCAGAACTATTTCAAAGAGTAGGTATAACTCCACCAAAAGGATGCCTCTTATATGGCCCTCCAGGAACTGGGAAAACATTATTGGCTAGAGCTGTAGCCAGTCAGTTGGATGCAAACTTCTTGAAAGTTGTATCGAGTGCTATTGTTGATAAATACATTGGCGAATCTGCACGATTGATTAGAGAGATGTTTAATTATGCGCGGGATCATCAACCATGCATTATATTCATGGACGAAATTGATGCAATTGGTATGTACACTATGGTTTATGAGGGTAATAAAATGATGGTTTCACTGAACTCGTTTCAAATCATATAGGTGGCCGCAGATTCTCTGAAGGAACAAGTGCGGATAGAGAAATTCAAAGAACGTTGATGGAACTCTTGAATCAAATGGATGGTTTTGACTCTTTGGGCCAAGTTAAAATGATAATGGCAACAAACAGGCCAGATACCTTGGACCCTGCTTTATTACGACCTGGTAGATTAGACAGAAAAATTGAAATACCTTTACCCAATGAACAAGCACGTCTAGAAATTTTGAAGATTCATGCTGCACCTATATCGAAACATGGAGACATTGGTAAGGGTTTGCCTTTTATTCTTGTCTGTCTTATTCCACGATACAATGGTTAAAATGTTAAAAATTTGAATTCAACACAGATTATGAAGCGGTGGTTAAGCTTTCCGATGGATTCAATGGAGCCGATTTGAGAAATGTCTGCACCGAAGCAGGGTTATTTGCGATAAGATTAGAAAGAGAATATGTAGTGCAAGAGGACTTTATGAAGGCAGTAAGAAAAGTGTCTGACAATAAGAAACTTGAATCCAAATTGGATTATAAGCCACTCTAATCAGTCTAAACAGTTACAAATATATCAATTACTCACTAACAAATGTGTGGTTAAATAAAACGAATTTACTTTGTTGTAATATTATTTGTATTTTATGGTAGAAACGTATGCTTCGTAATATGGAATCATTGGTTCAAACTTAGTTATAGGCTGTACAATAGAATACATTCTTTTGTGACAGAAACATTTCTTAAATGTCAAAAATTACTCAACAGTACTCGAAAGACGTGTCTTCTTCCTCTCCAAATATTCTTGTACATTGTCATACTTTCTTTTATATAAAATTGGAAATAAATTTTGCTTAATGGAATCTTTCCTCAATGATTTCCAAATGTTATTCAATTTATTTAGTTTCATATTTGTTGTATTGCCAAGAACAAAATTATTTTGTTTGAATTTGTATACTTGAAATCCTACTTGGTTCAGTACCCAGAAATTTCCCTTATAAAAATGGCACTCTATAGGTTCATAGTCTGCAACTATGGATTGAACGTATGTAGCTTTGAATTTTGATTCTTCTGCGTCGCTAATGATATAAACTAATAACAACGTGTTATCATAAAAGCTCATCACAGCCAATGACGAAGAAGAATTCAGTGCGCAGAGTCTTAAATGTTTAACAGGTAAAATCTCTACAGTTTCATCCAAATGGCAATCCTGAAGCTTTTGATTGAACTTCTCGATATCTGTTTTAGGTATTTTATCGCAGAAATTAACCGATAATAAACTTTTTCCACATTTATAGTTCCATAAAATAAGAACCCCATCTCCTCCGCAAGATACCAAAACACTTCTACGATGAGGTAATTCTAAAATATTTGTTACAAACTTTTTATGCCCTAAACAATAGGACATGATATTATACGAGTTTGGAAACATCGAGACTCTGATCTTTTCATCTCTATCAGTGGTAACAATGTATTTTTCATCTTCTGTAACTATTACATCAAGCAACATCGACAAATGTCCCAACAATAATATCGCATTGTCAGATTTATTACTCGGAAATAGATAAGCATCGCCTGTTTTGTCAGCGACAACTATATCATTACCAGGTGTAAATCTTACTTTGCTGGCTGCTCTTGTCAGTGTCTGATTTGATAAAAGATTGCAGTTTCTCTTTTCATATAGGCACAGTTGTTTGCGATTTGTGCAAACAAAAAAGTATTTACCATCGTTTGAAAATGTTACATTTGTTATAGTGTGAAACGCTTCAATATTTATATTATTGTGTGAATCGATGCTTTTGTCCGTTTGAAGTTCGGGTAACTGGATTATTTTGTCCGTATCATGTTCAAAATTATACACGACAACTTGCTCGTTGGTACACAAAGCAATGTCGGAGTCGCATATAGAAAAACTCATAATTGTAACATAAACTTTGTTGAACAATAATTTGTTGTTCGCAACGTTGCGCGTAAATAAATCATAAAGTTGGAAGATCCCGATAATATAAATTTATTTTTTATTTGAACGCAATATACACGAATGTGTATTATTTCAAAGAAAGTTGATAGTTGATACACTTCGTCACTGCAAGATGCACTGTACTCCACGTGCTCGATACACGCTGCACGTCAATGACGAGCTGTAAATACAAATGCAAATTAATAAATCTGTAATGTAACGTGGTTTTGTCACTTCGTCGATAGGAGGCACCTACATTTAGGAGTCTAAGTTCTACGTACATTCTACATATGTACAGTGATCGTACATAGTGGTAGCGAATCCTGCATAGTTTCAGATCGCAGTTTGATCAGTTAGCGAGAGTCGGAGTAGAAATTACTTTGCTCTGATTGGTTCGTGATTGATTGTTGAAACAGGATGCATCGCGAATGGGATGTACGTAAAGTGGTGGGGGATACAACTGCTTGCTTAGGGAGGTAAAAAAAAACGTGCAGGAATAGGATCTAATTATGTCGGTAATATTGGATACGATTTTAAATATTTTATTAAATATCGTATCTTTAACATGTGTTTAGCAACTAATAACCTAAAGTTAATACATACCGAATCTAGGGCAAATATACATTATATACATGTATGTTTGATCACATTACATACATTGTATCTATGTACTACAATATACATACATATTTAACTGGTTAGGTAAAATATGTACATTTAAATAACTAGCGTATACACAAACATAAAATTGCTACATGTGTATAGTTTATTATAATATAAGGTTGTGTGCAATACCGAAAGAGAAGAATATGTACTAATAAGAAGTTAGGAAAAAATAGAAGCAGATTTGTAGATTTGGAGTTTGAAGTTTGAAAAAGTTACGATGAAAAAGGACACATTCCGTGATTATAGAGTGCGCTGTTTTTCAATCGTACGGATAATCGTTGCCTAATCCGTTCCAGATAAAGTTCGAGCGAAGAATTGTTTCGGTGTAATTGTGCTGTACATATGCTTGTAACATCACAACATATCTGAATCTTATTCTAACGAAACGTCGACGCGTGTCCTACGATGTTCTGTGCTCGAAACGTTGACTTTATACGTGGTGATCAGTTTAATATCCCGAAGACAACCAATATGGCAGTATATATGAAAACTACCTTCTGCTCTTATGGCGGATAATGATATTAATATGTATAAAGATCGAAATTCGAAAATATAATTTCTGAAAGCAGTCCAAATATAGCAAAAAAACAAGAATAAACAATGTACGTGAAGTATTAAATATTTGAATGTATATTATAACCGGAAGAGCTGTACGACACAACCGATCGGCCATCGCCGACTCCCGATTGACCAAGTTTGAATCTTGTAACGGTCATACAGGTAAGTGTAAGCATTCTTTGATTGAGCATCGTCATGTATGGTATTCTAATTATGAATTCGCATCGGTTAACTTGCGTGTAGGTAGATGAGTTTAGTTTATTCTCATTGCAATTATTCTAACCTTCTGTATACAACTATTTGTATACTTGTTGTAATCTCTAATGGTGCTAATTAAATTGTGACCCTTGTTTCATTGGTTGCATTTATGACAATTTTGCTTTGTTGGTTCTTACAGAAGCAGACGTATTAGAATAAAACAAGAATGGAGGATACAAATGACATACTAGTATGTGCAACAGAGTTTCTAAAAGGTAAAGAGATTTTTTAAAATAATATTTGACAATTCAGCGTAATTATTAATTTTCATTCGCACTAATGGATGGTTCAATTGAATCTTGCGAACATATGGTGTATTTTTTTCCTTATTTTTTTAGATCGATTATATTTTGTAACATTGAGAATGACGATAAAACCAAAGAGTACTCCAAACACGCATTATTTCACTATTGACGACGAGCTAGTTTATTACAATTTTCATAATGATTTTGGCCCTTTAAATCTTGCAATGTTGTATCATTACTGTCAGAAGGTTAATAAAAAGCTGAAAGCGGTAACCTTAAAAAAGAAAAAGATCATACATTATACAACTATGGATCCAGAAAAGAGATTGAACGCTGCATTCCTTATAGGAAGTTATGCTGTAAGATATTCCATAATTGCTGGAAATAATAATAATAATAATAATAACAACAATATAATGAAACCACATGTTTTAGATATTATATTTAAAACACACAGCCGACGATGCGTTTAATTGTTTAACCAGCAGTTCTAATTGTCCCTTTACTATGTTTCGCGATGCTTCTATGGGTACGACATGCTATGAAATATCACTGAATGAATGTTTGAGTGCCATATACAAGTGCCACAGGCTTGGATTCTTTAATTTTCAAGATTTTCTTGTTAAAGAATATGAGTATTTCGAAAGAGTAGAAACTGGAGATCTGAATTGGATTGTTCCTGGTAAATTCATCGCATTTTGTGGACCTTATGCTAAATCTAAAATAGAAAATGGTATGTATTTGTGCTTTTGTAGTTGCTAGAAGCATACAAGGCTTTTAAAATGAACTACCAGTATTTACAATTTTCTGTTTATTTTTTTTCATATCTATGCAGGATATCCTCATCATGCACCAGAATCGTATTTTAAATATTTCCGACGCAACAACGTATCTACGATTATACGTCTTAATAAGAAAATTTATGATGCTTCGAGTTTCACGAATGCAGGATTTGAGCATAAAGATTTATTTTTTGTTGACGGTTCGACCCCGACAGACTCAATTATGCGTCAGTTTCTGAAAATTGCAGAGAACGCGAGCGGTGCTGTTGCTGTACATTGCAAAGCAGGACTTGGTAGGACTGGTTCTTTGATAGGTTGTTATATCATGAAACATTATCATTTAACTGCTCATGAAACAATTGCATGGATAAGAATATGTAGACCAGGCTCGGTAGTTGGACATCAGCAGCAATGGTTGGAAAAGTATGAATCTGTTTTAAGTAATAATAGTACTTGTATATCGTTTAATATGTCAGTATTATTATTGAAAGTCCTAATCAAAAATAAAATTGTGTTACAGGAAGGAAGCATATCTTCACTCTCTATTGAAAGAACCTTTGCAATCGGAAAATGGGAATCCAGTGCACAAATATGGAATTTATTCTATAGTTGGCAGACCCAAAGTAGCAATTATGTTTAATTTGAAGGAATCCCATTTGGTACAGGATAATGTTTCGGGGATAATGCATAGAGTAGACGGGATTACATTGGACGATCATACCCCTGCTGCTGGCACCAGTACAACCAAATATATGCCATTGACTCAGGGCGGAAAATTAAACTTAATTAAAATCAAAAGAAGTTTACCAACAAATCACAATATTAATACAACTACAAAATCTTCCACAGTTGCACAGTAAATATTATTTTATATACTTTTTACTTTAGATACGTGTTGTATACTTTTTACAGCAAGAACAAATTATTCACGGATACATACTATATTTTTAGTCCTTATTTAAGACCGTTGTTGCAATCTAGAAGCCAGAAGAGTACAAGTAACGCATTAACTAGAAGTAAAGAAAAAGATTCGACTAAGAAGGTTCTACCTAGATCCACGACAACAGCTATCGCCAAGAGGTGAGATTGTCGGTTTTGCTTACACAATTTTTTTTTTAACCGCTTACGTTTATTGCTTTCCTTCTTAGTTGTTTTTCTTTTTCTGTTTCTGGTTTGTTGGTTTTCCTTCTTTTTAATTCTTTTTAATACTTATCACGCCTCGATAACATTTTTCCGCATATTCAGCTCTTTACATTGTAGACGTATTAAATTTCATTCGCGTTCTAACAATCGCATGTTATCAACGTAAGCAAAGGATTACTATCTTTACGAAAAATTATAGAAACAGTTGGCTGGTCAGCAGTATCTGTGATACATCTTCGCGTCGTATTAAGTCTACTAAACCAGCAACACAGATCCATAATATCAACAACAACACAACTACCACTACTCCCGTTTCGTCAATATCCGTATCGAAACCGGTGACAAGGGCCAGTATAAGAACTTCCTGCATCACAGAGACTCGAACCTCACATGAGTCTACAAATTATTCGGTTTCGCAACCACAACAAGGCATGAATATGATTCTCAGGTCTGCGGATCGAGTAAATCGCTATCATTCTCTAAGACAGTAAGTCTTCATAACTGTTACTCTAAAAATTTTTCTAAGTAACAGTTACCATAGCTCTCTTTACAAAAATGTCATGACTTCTGCACTTTATTGTAACATATTGCTTTATTTCATATTCTATAGAAAAATAAGGCTTCTCTTCTGCATTGTATTATATTTGTAATTCAGCTTCTATCCTTTTATTAGAGTTTTTTATCAGATTAAGAAATTTGATATCTGTATAGAAAGCATAACAAATACTCTGTTATAGTAAGCAGATTAATAATATTATTATTATATATATATATAAAAGGATATGAAGCAGTACCAAAAACTTATAATGTGACTGATTGATTACTAATATTAACACGCATGTAGCATGCACTAAGATATCTTCGTTTAAGGCATGCAATTAAAATTTTTAAGATAACATTAGGCCTGGACAAATAATAACGATAATAGTAATAATAATAATGATGAAGATGATCATAATTAATAATAATAGAGAAAATTAACTTTATTTATGTGTTTTATAAATGTAAATAGCATTCAATTAAATTCGTGCGTATTATTTATCATAGAAAATTAGATGCGCTATAAAAATAAAATACCTTTTTTATTAGATTGGATTACTGTCCAGGCCTGTCAGCTGTGTAAGCTACATTTAGAGCTTAGGGATGAAGTAGCTCCTGAGGTGGCTAACAAAGTGCTCCCTTTTATTTCTGTGATTTGCAGTGCGCGCACAAGCAAAAGTTATAAAACTGCATTTATCAGATGACTAACCGATATTCTCAGTGGCGTTGGAGTGGACAATCCAGTAATTCGAGCATCTCATCAGCGTCGAAGATCTCACCGCTTAAATCCAATTATTCAGTAGAACCATCCCACTGATCTCCAATCTTCAACTCGAGCAACTATTATTGTTCATGCTTCTATCATAATCAACGAGAATCAAATAGTCTTTATAACTTCATAGTAGCGTTATTTCAAGTTTACAATTGTATTTTGGGTTATAAGTTTCTTGGATTACCTATACTCTGCTGTAGTACAGGTTTAGAAAAACTCTTCCATGTTTCATGATACGTTGAACGTTTGTGAAAAGATCAACATGGTTTCAATTAGTTCCACTTGGTTATATATCATCTCTCTGCTGGCCAGAAGAAATGCAAAAAACTATGCTATGTGAGTATCTTTAAATGATTTTTATGATTCGTCATTCATTTTTATTTCCACCATTTCTAACAGAAACTCTATAAGAATTTGTATTTACATATATAATTGTAATTGAATTCATAATCATGTCTGTAAATATCACGTACTCTCTTGTAAAAATATTCGTTTCTAAAATTCGACACTTACTGCTTTGACATTTGCGAAATTAGTTGTTGACAGTCGAATTATGTGTTTTTATAAACATGCAATATTTTTGCTGTTTCGAACAGAAATGAAGGGTACAGCAAATAGAAACTTACAATCCCAATGTACATTATTACTTATAGCAATGTGATTAACACAATTTATTTGTCTTCATTTAAGCTATTTAATGTTTACACATCTACGTT